TGTGGATTGGTTGATTAATTTTCGTGTATGTTGATTAATTAAAAATGGAATAGTTATCGTAATTTTTATTTGTTATTGTCATTTGATTGAGTTGGTTGTTATTGTCATTTTGATTTATACAATGTGTGGATTGGTTGTTTTGTTATTGTCATTTTTTATTGAGTTGGTTGTAATATTATATCATATTATATATACTAGTATGAATATGTATATAATTTGTACAAAAACTATTGGAAAGTGTCTGCCGACACAATGGTACGAGGTGCGCCCAAAGAAACCGGACTCGCCCTTTGACCCGAGTTCGAGTCCAATCTGGGAGCCTCTACTATTTTTTTTATTTTGAAACGTATTCCCAGAATACGTTTCACAAATAATTTTAATAAAAACGTATTCCGGGAATACTTTTTTAGTTAAATATAAAAAAATCTTTCTTCTTCTTCCTTGTGCGACAGAGAGCAAACATGGACGAAAAAAAAAGAAGAGAGAAAGAGAGCGAGAGTGCGAGAGAGAGCGAGAGATCGAGAGAGTATCGGAGAAAAAAAACCACCGCCACACCGCCGTCGATTCCTCCTTCCCGTTTATTAGGTAAATATCTTCTATTATGCTTTATTTTTTCAATTTTTTCAGATTTTTCATTTTTTTCAAATTTTTTCAATTTTTTTTTCGAAATTGGATTAGTATTTTTTCAATTTTTTTTGAAATTTCGTCGATTATGTTTCTATGTTGAATTGGAGATTGGGAAGTAGGATTGTTGGAATTAGGGCTTCGATTTAGGATTTTTTGAATTAGGGCTTCGAAATAGGGTTTTTTGAATTAGGATTGTTCGATTTGAATTAGGATTATTCGATTTGAATTAAGAGTGTTTCTTTCAGCTTTCTCCTTGTTGTTGTTGTTAAGCTAATGATGATGGTGGTGTGGGACTGGTTGTGTGAGAAGATTCTAGAAGTTGTTTATATAGAAGTTGTTGTCGTTTCTCTAAATTTAGGTTCATATGTGTTAGCTGGATTTAGGTTTCTGACCATGTTGTTTATGACTTAGGTTTTAAGGCGGAGGTTGTCTCAATTTAGGGTGCTTTATCAGTTTCATTTTGCCATATTTTGTTTTAGAAGAGCAGAAATAAAAATAGAAAAAAGT